ACCCTAAACCCTAAACCCTGGTTCGATCCCAGGCCTCTGCAGGCATCGAAGCCAAGTAGCCCTCGGTGTGACCTGCGGGCGCCCCATGGGCCGATCAGGTTCTGGAGCTACGGGTTCAGGGTTTTAGGGTTTAGGGATACCATAAATGGCTACTGTAAGGGCCTTAAGAGCATAGTACACGCATTTAGGGATACCATAATGGTTACTACAGGGGCCTTAATAGTATAATGGACTCCTTTAAGGGGTCCCATTATGGATACTATGGGGCCTTAATAACAATCGACCCCATAGCCCTATTCTGATTATTAAAGTCCCTATATTGCCGTGAGGACCCTGTAAGGGGTTTAAAGGTTGAACGTCCCCTGCTTAGGTCTCACGGATCTACGGAATATTGACGCGCCGACATGAAAATGCTTGACTCCATCTGAAACCCCAACCCGACAAAAGCAAAAAATGCATCCCCGCTTCCATCAGCCTCCCTTTTTGGCGGCGGCCTGACAGCGCGGCCACGGGCGCCATGTCATTGAAGAAGATGGCGTCGGGGAACCGAAGCCTCTCCAACAAAAAACAGAGAGAAGCGGAGCATGGTATAAATACATAGTTTCTCGTGCTTTTCTATCTGGTCCCTTAATTCCGTCTGTGCTGTTTCCTCTCCAGATAGTGCAGAGAGAGTCCTGTCCAGGCAGAGTGAGAGAGAGAGAGANNAGAAAGAAAGAAACAAACAGAACATGCAACGACACTGAAAGTTACGGGCATGCCTCCTGAACCGCAAGCACAAGTTACACCCCACAGGTCCCATTCATGAACCCTATAAGGGTAGTTGTCTAAATTAGGGTCCCTTTTTAGGTCCCCAATATAGTACGGCACCCTTATAAAAAGGACCCCAAAAGGACCCTATTTTTGAAAACTACCTATAAGCCAATGACGTTTTTTAGCGGCGAAATGGCCTGTTCAGTCCCGTCGTGCAGCGCACAGGTGCCAACTCGCAGTCCTGCCGTGGTCTGGGGTTTAGGGTTTAGGCTTTAGGGTTAGGCTTTAGGGTTTAGGCTTTAGGGTTTAGGCTTTAGGTTTTAGGCTTTAGGGTTTAGGCTTTAGGGTTTAGGGGGTTGAACGATGTTTAGTACAAAGCCGTTATAAAGGACGTCACCTGTTTACAAGTTGTGGCCATTTTGGGGGACCTTAATCACCCTGAAGCACTTCACTCGACCAGTCTCGGAGGAGAGACGCTTTGACAGCGGAATGCGCAAACTAACCATCGCCATCTCTTTCGGGGTGTGGCTCCGTGTTAGGAAGGAAAGAGAGACGCATCAGTTCTTTTATTTATGGGATTCCTGACAAACCATCAGGAAACCAAAAGCATAGCAAGCCAAGAGGATCCCAGAATGGACGAAGGTACGAGGTGTCTCAGAGCCGATCATTTATGACAAGGGGGTACTTATGATAAGGATCCTACTTTCGGGTTTTTGTATCCAGGTCCCTTGCTCTTGGTGGTAAGGCAGAGCCCAAGCTGGACACTTGGGGTTTACAGCCTTCCGGGGTTTAGCAGTTCCGGGAAGCACCAAGAAAAGAATTTAATGTAGGGGCCGTAGATAATGATTAGAATAGGTTTTTGGGCTCCTTTGTAGTATATTTATAATAAGGAACCCTAACAATAATATTGGTAATTGTGTAGGCCTCTATAGTCGGACCGTAGGGTCTGAGGCTTTGGGGTCCAGGGCCTCGGACTCTGCCATCCACCACGGAGGTGCTCTAGTTGCCCTGAACGCTAATGTAGGGGCCTTACTAATTAGAATAGGGTTTTGGGGTATACTATACTATAATTAAAACAGGGAACCCCCAAAATAGTATAGATAATTATTAAGGCCCCCTATGTTAGACAGTCTTTCAGTGCTCCGAACCCTCAACCCTTCAATCACAGCTCGAGGCCCCGAAACTGGACTGCTCTTACATTGGGCTTCTACCTGCGGCATCCATGTGAATCAGACAGCCGCTTGTTGATGCGACACAAACCATCAGCGGTATCTCAATGTCGCCATTAATCAAGCAACCGCCGACCCACAAACTCTACACGATAGTCACATCCGAAACCCTGAATCACGGTAGCACACACTTTTGCTTCAACAAGCCTTCTCCTAAACCCTTACTTACCATCAGCTCGAACACCCCAACACCTTTTCCCCCAAACCCTAAACTCCCCAGAGACCCTCATAGTAGCAGTATTCGCACCGGCATGCTAGTAACTATCAGGGTTTTAAGGCTTTTGCGTCACGTATTAGCACCACTTACTAGTATGTAGTATGTAGCAGCAATAGACTCCAGACATCCACCGCAGCCGAAGATGTAATGTCGGGGCCTTAATAATTAGAATAGGGTTTTCGGGCCCATGATGCTATAATTATAATAACGGGCCCTAAGGAATAATGTAGGCAATTATTTAGGCTTCTATATGACCAGAGCCTGGCTCAGCCCTGGGGGCGCGGGGATGTGAGCAGCAACCTCCCAGACGTAGCCAGCTCAAGGGTTCTTCTCGGGTCCTTTTAAGGAGGCATTAGAGGGGTTACTATGAGGGGTCCATGAAGGGTTGAGGGTTTTGGGGTTCAGAGTTTTAGGAATTTCGGGTGTTTTGGGGTAGGGTCGAGGCCAAGGGCTCCATTACCCTTACCCCGGTGCTAAAGAAAACCCTCGAAGGCAAAACCCCTGCACTCTAAAACCGTTAAAGCCTCCACCCGACAGGGGAGCCCCGAGCTCGATGTGGGAGTTTCCGAAAATAAGGTATAGGGGTTTAGGGTTTAGGGTTTAGGGTTTAGGGTTAAGGGGTACCTAATTTTGGGGTCCTTTTAATAAGGATCCTACGATCTAGGGTGCTTTATTTGGGTCCTCTATTTTCGGAAACCCCCATGTTGATCCCAAGCCTCACGTTCCAAAACACGAACATGCTGGAATGCTGCAGCCTGGAATAACAGTCTATGCGTCAGAAAACCCAAACCCCATAGAAATCCATGACCTGCACGACGAGAAGCCCAAGACAAGGGACAACGGCGTCTGAACAGGGCTGGAGTACCCAACTACTAAAGTCCCAACTCCAAAACCCTAAGCCCACCACCCCCAACGCCAAACTCCACCCCCCCAAAAAACCTCATCGCACTCGTATAAGAACATTTCAGAACCCCCATAAGAGCCCCTTATGGTAACCTGTGGTAACCTGCACATCCCGCCTCCGTGCCCAGAACTTCTTCCATCACCGAGGGCAGACCTGAATTGCGAGAGTGTACCATAGGGCCTTGCTCATCGAGTTCATATATATATAGGGTTTAGGGTTTAGGGTTTAGGGTTTAGGGTTTGATAGGGTTATAGTTTAAGGGCATTAAGACTTAGGTAAGGGTTCCAGTATATTTGGCGATCGCATAGCGACCTTAATCATTCGAACAGGGTTTGGGGGATATGCGAAAGTACGATTATCATGGGAACCAGAAAAGGAATACGACGACGAATTTCTTCAGGCCTCCACAGTAGAAGGCATGGTGATAATATGAAGGCTCCTATGAGGGTCCATTATAATTATAAGATCATGCCAGGCCAGTTCAAGGTGTAAGCGTTCGGGGCGTAAGGGTGGGAGCTGCAGGGGGTACGGTTCAGGAGGTTTCCTCTTGCTTCTTGCTGCTGACATCTAATGCGTTACTATTATAGCAGCTATGATTCATGACTTTGATGATTTTTTATGATTACTGTGTTTATTCTTACGATTATTCTTAGTATTTACAGCCTTCGCAGATCGAGGTTTCAACTCGTTGAAACAAACACGCGCTTAGTAGGCTTGGCACTAGTGCTAAACCACCCTCCTAAGAGAATCCTTAAAGGAAGCCTTATAGGATCCTAGACAGGGGGACTGGAACCCACCCGAACAGCCCAGCCTTTAATTCTTAAGGCACCTTACGAGCAATCCCGAAATCAAGGGACCCTAAACCCTAAACCCTAAACCCTAAACCCTAAACCCCTAAACCCTAAACCCTAAACCCCTAAAGCCCCCTGCTCCTCTCGTGCAAGGTAGACTGATAAGGGAGCCACAATGCTAAAAACCCGACACCCAAACTAAAAATGCTGAACCCTAAACCCCTATAAGAACCCCAGACACAAAAGCAGAAACCTTATAGGAGCTCTTAGAAAAACCCCAAACCCTTCACCTTTGTACAAACTTTATAAAACCCTTGACATTTATAAATGACTTTTTCAGGGACCCTTAAAGACTAGACCCTAAACCCTTATGATTAGAAGCCTTATAAGAACCCCTTTAACACAAACTGAAACGTGAACCCTTATAGAAACCTTATAAGAACCCTAAACCATAAACCCTAAACCCACCAACCAACCTAAGCAACCCTAAACCCTAAACCCTAAACCCTAAACCCTAAAACCCTAAACCCTAAACCCTAAACCCTAAACCTTAAACCCTGGGAGACCTCGAAAAAGCGCAGGAGGCCCGGGCCGATGAGGTCTTCAACGATGCAGGCCGACTCGACGCCGCCCAGCGGGGAGAGATCCTAGGGCTTTAGACCCCTAAACCTATAAACCCTAGACCTTTCCCCCTAAACCCCTCAACCCTAAACTCTAAACCCCTAAACCCGAAACCCCTGAACCCTAAACAATAAACCCCTAAACCGGCTCAGGGCCGTTCGTTCTTCGGGGTCTCCAGGGCTTCGTTATGCTGGCGTCCCCCGATCTGAAGGGGGGATGTCGACCTTGCTTAACCAAAAATCCCTTCCGCAGTGAGCATGAAAACGAGGATCCTAACATAAAGGCCAGTAGTTTAGAGTTTAGGAGTTTAGGATGCAAAGATTAATTAGGCTCTGGGGTTTACATTCAAGTTCTCGCGTGAACTTGCGCGAGGCTGTTTTAGATTCCGGGTCTTTGGCATTCACGGTGTCCTTTGCACAACTTATAGGGGCCTAAATAATTACAATACTATTTTTTTTTTGGGGGGGGGGCCTCCTTATTATAATTATAGTACAATGGGCCCAAAACTGAAAAGCCTATTCTAATTATTAAGGCCCCTACATTACTTATTATGGACGGCAACCTAGGGTCATCGAAGGCGCCTCGGCCTTGAACCGCAAAAAGGGGCCTTACCAAATAGAATAGGGATTCGGGGCGTATTACATTATTACACTATAAATTAACGACAAGGATCCCTACGCAATAGTGAGTAGTAACTGAGTAGTATTAAGAACAACTCAGGCCCCTTTGTTCCTCCAAGATTTTCGATCTTCAAAGCCTGAAGCACGGTCCCCGCTGCCCGCTACTCCGAAATGCTTTCGGAGACGCTGCGCAGACGACCAGCGGCTCCCCATCGTCCATGAAGAATCTGGCATTCGTGCGGTTTTTGGTGTGGGCTTTCCGGGTTTATGGGGTTACATAGCTTTTCAACTCAGGCTCGCTTGGCGTTTCTGATGCATCAGAGCCGCGATCAGAAACAAGAAACAATGCTCAGAAGAGTAAGCTTGACCGCAAGTACTTCAATGACGGAACCGAATCTCCAAGCAAGCCAACGGAAACAGTAGGTCGGGCTTCGGGTAACGAGTTGTTGTGGGTTTTGTATGTGAGATTCTGAGACTAGAACTGCTACTAACCCTCAAAACCCTAAAGCCCAGAACCCAGGTTTCGTCCTTGGGGTTCCGCCCCGCTAAAACCCCGAATCCCCCAACTCCGCCTTGAAACTCGCCACCTTCAAGCCTAAACTCCAAACAGCGAACCTGGTATAGGGGTCATGATCGGTAAACTCGGGTTTTGGGGGGCATGTTGCAGAAAAAAAGTAGGCCCTAAACCGGTGGATTTTGAGGGCTGCATTAATAAGGATGCCATCCCCTACGTAGGGCTCTGCCTCGATTAGCTTGCAGAGATAGAGTTGGGATTGTGGAGGGCTGCGAAGTTTTCAGGGACGAGACTTGCTTCAAGGACCTAAGAAGCCTAGGGTTTCAATGGTTTAGGGATTTGGGGTGGGGCTGTGGGGCTCGGGATTGAGGAGTTGAGGGCTTTAGGCACGAGCTCAGCAATTCTACAGATTACTGACCGCTTAGGACCCCCCATACTTTGCGGATTTTCAGGCACCACGCCCAGGCCTGGTCGCCTCCGCAGGTGCCTCCGGGCTGTCTTTAGGCCGAGGACATCGCAGGTTCACAATGATGCAGATGATGGGTATTTTAAGCAACAAGATTGTTTTGTATGTCCTTCAAAAACCTGCCAGCAGCACATGGGCAGTCTTGGGCTGGGCAAAGTCTGTGCGCTTACCGAGGGCACTGCCGCTCGGCACATGCTGACCTCAAAAAACTAGGCCCGACAATCTTGAAAGCGCGAAACCCAAACCCGAAACCCACGTACAACCATTTAGGAACCCGGGTATCAACGTCAATCCTTAATTGGCTCTTGTCCCTTGACCCTGAACCCCCTACAAAAATCCGGAAACCCGACAAACCCGACCTTCGCTAGCCTTAACCCTGCACAGCCCTATGAAACCCAAAATATCCGAGGACAAGAGCTCAACCCGTAGTTGGCCCTTAGCCCCTTTGCCTTCAACCCGAAACCCTAAACCCCCAAAACCCTAAACCCCCAAAACCCCCCAAAACCCCAAACCTCCAAAACCCAAACCCCCAAAACCCAAAACCCTAAACCCCCAAAACCCTAAAACCCCCAACCCCCAAAGCCCCTAAACCCTAACAATCCAAACCGGCAAAACCTAAACCCTAAACCCCCTAAACCCTAAACCCTAAACCCTCTAAACCCCAAAACCCCTAAACCCTAAACCCCCTAAACCCAAGCAATTCTGAACAGAAACCACCGGCGCTCGGCTTCGGGAGACCTTCGCCTTGAAGCAAAGAGCTCGGATCGTGGCGGTTGGATCCTGTCCGCTGCTTCTGGAGAGGTTTAGGGTTTAGGGGTTAGGGGTTTAGGGGGTTTAGGGGTTGAGGGTTTAAGGGTTTAGGGTTTAGGGATTAGGGGTTTAGGGTTTAGGGTTTTTATGGAGTTTTCTCAGGTTTTCTTGAGTGCTTGTCATCGAGTTTTCCAGGTTGTTCTTGAGGGCTTTTATAGATTTGTTTTCACGTTTGCCACAGCAAATCCTGCTTAGGGTTGAGGGTTTAGGACTTGGGGCTTAGGGTGAAGGATTTAAGGCTTAGGATTTAGGGCTTAGGCTTTAGGCGTCCAGGCTTCTACTCGACTCTCAGACAACCCCCTATTCGGGCTTTATGCGGATTCCATTCATAAGGGCTACCATAAGGCTTCTATTTGAGTTCTAGAAGGCTTTGCTTAACCGGTTAGTGTATTATAAGGCTTCTGTTCGGGGTTGATAGAGTTTTGGGCGGGGTTACTATCAGGCTTCCATTCGGGTGTTCTGCTTTAGGGCTTACGGTTTTATACGGGGTACATTCAATTCGGGTTCTCTAAATCTTTTGTTACAGCTGTTCTGGTGTCTGGAAATTATTAAAGCTTCTACTGGTGTTCTAAGAAGGTTTTGCTAAGATTTCAGAACAGTCAGCTGTAGTTGCGAGGTGTTGGGACTTTTGGGGTTTAGGGTTTGGGGTTTGGGAGGGTGGGGTGGGGGGGGGGGGGATTCGGCTTTCTGGCTGTATAGTTGTGGGTCTGGGATACATGGCTTTAGGGGTTTGGGGGCCCTCACGATGCTTAGGTTGGGGGATCTTTGCGGCTTGCGGGCTTGAGGATTCTTGGGTTTGGGGCTTCAGAATACATGTTACCCTATCCTAACTCTAGGACGCTGAGGCAAAGCAACATGTCACCGCAACAAGACCCCAGACTATATGCAGCGCCAGTACACTGGAAGGATTGCATAGACAAAAGTAGCTTGAATGAATGCTATACATTGTTGGTGAACAAGATGTTGATCGTGCCTTGCTTTTAGCCTCACCAGTCCTAAACCCGTAAACCTAAACTCTAAAATCTAGACCAAGGCCCCACACTTACAGTAAACATTCACACCTGAATGTCACTGCCACTCTGAGTGGAGAAGCTACATGAACTCAACATACTAAACCTGAAATCCCCAATGGGCTATCCTGAACGAGTTTGGGGACTAGGGGTAAGTGCTACATATTCTGAGGCCTAAATTAGCTAATCTCTAGAGTAGGGTGTTGGGCTATAAAAGCGATACCAGACGTATACCCGGCACGAATTATTCCAACTTGGCCTCTACGCCTCTACGTAGGGTTGAAACGAATCAACCCTAAACCCTAGCCCTAAACCCTAAACCAACCAAAAGCCCCTGAACCCGCAAGCCTAAATCCACAAGCCCTGAACTTTAAGCCTAAGTTAGACCTACATCTTGAACCTGAAACCTCTGATAAACAAACCAAGGACCCCAAAGAAAAACGAATCCTTAAGCCCAAAACCCCAAGTTCACGCTAAACCCTAAGCCTGAAACCTCTGATAAAAGATCCAGGCCCCCAAAAAACCCAAACCCTGAAAGCCCTAAGCCTGAAGCTAACCAAAAATCCTAAAAATGAAACCTCTGATAAACAAAGCCCAATGCCCCCCTCCCCAAAAACAAAAACAAAAAATCCCTAAACCCAAAGGTATACCTGAAACCTCTGATAAACCCAAAAAACCGCCTCCCAAAAGACAAAACCCTAAACGCGAAGTTACACTAAGCCCTGAACCTGCCAACCTCCGATCCCTAAACCCTGCCCTAAGTTCACCAAGAATCAAAGGTTTAGGGCTTAGGGTTTAGGGTTCCGAAGCCTGAGACCCCTCATAAACCCAAAACCGGCACCTCCAGCGATCGGAGAGTGGCAGAGAGGACAACCCCTTCCTGCCGAAGTGGGGGGCTCGGAGTGCCTAGGGCCTAGGGAGGGTGGGGGGGGAGAGGGGGGTGGCGGGGTAATGTAGGGGCCGCCTTTACTATTTAGAAATAGGGCTCCTTTAAAGAGTCCCTTTTAAAGGGGTCTATAAGGATAACTACAAGGGTTTAGTGTAGGGGCCTCAATAATTAGAATAGGGTTTTGGGCCCAGTGTACTATAATTATAGAAAAAGGAACCCCCAAAATAGTATTGGGATATATTTGAGCCGCCATATTGCCGTGATTTTAGGGTTCGGGGTTGAGGTGTTAGGGTTCATGGGAGTGTCTGCCTAGGGAGGCGGGGGATACCGTGACTTTAGGGTTCAGAGTTTACCCAGCGGCTTCACTAACAGGGGTGGTTTGAGGTTGTGTTTTTCGGCATTTTGAATTATTGTTTTCAGGGAAAAAGGTTTCAGTAAGGCTGTGCTGGGATTTGTCAATTCATGTTTATGCTATGTTATGTTACGCTGCCATGTTGTGGTATGATACGAATTTGAGTTCGTCAGCTCGGCGACGGTGTCTGAGCTGCGGACGAGGAGGTACCGAGAATGGTACTTGGGAGAACCGCTTGGCCAAGGCGGACGCTGAAAAACAAGGCAGGACATGAACGTCATCATCCCCCCAGCCCCCCCTCCAAACGAAACAGCAGAGCCGAACAACACCACCATCAAAACTGTGCGCAAAACAGGTCTCGCAGGTTTCGCGGTTTTTTTTGCAGAAAGCAAGCACATCATCTAGATGCAGTTGCAAAAAGCTAGGAATCCTTCGCGCAGGCGAGGTTTCCAAGAAGGCAGCCCTGAATCGCCAAGCAGCTGCAAGCAGAGTCTCTTGATACTGCGGGAAATCGTCCCTGTTAGTGAACCCGCTGGCGGGGTTTAGGCTGTAGGGTTCATGGAATACTTGAATTCAAAGGTGACGTATGCATGTAGGTATGTATGCATGTAGGTATGTATGTATGTATGTATGTATGTATGTATGTATGTATGTATGTATGTATGTAATGTATGTAATGTATGTAATGTATGTAATGTATGTAATGTAATGTAATGGAATGTA